CAGGTCTTACCATAACTGGCAACGTATTACACGTATTTTGAAGTGTATGTGTGAGTTGGGATTTGTGGACGTACAACCCCCATTGATTTGGTTCTTCTTTAATGAAATTTTCATTACGGGGAAATTGTATCGTGCAGAAAAAAGCTTTATGGAGTTTTGGTTGCAAACTCTAAAAGATGACAAAATGAGGCTTCACATTGAAGAAGAAGCTGGGAAGATCAAACGTGGCACTCCTTTTCAATTTTCAGATAGTCTGATCCTTCCGAAATCTTTCACTGATGCCAAAGACCTAACACAACCTGATAAAGAAACAGATAGTGTAAGCTTGCAAGAGATGGACCAGGAACTAAGCAAAGGTAAGGAGGGAGACGCATGAACTCCAATCTCATGTCATTTCGCCTTACACAACTTTTCGTGTCTTGGTGTGTATTTTGTTGTTATTGTTTGGTGTCACATAAGTCGATTCAGATTTGAAATTTATTCAAAAAATGTTTATGGAATTCAAAAATAACATTTACGAGTTTTGCTATTTCATTATGTACAATTTCTGTCTACACTAACTGAGCATATTGATTTAAAATCATGTCTGTTTCGTGCAGTACACAGGTCAACGCAGGCCAGACAATGCACACAATCCTGATGTCAACAAGCGGGCCTATGTGTCTTTTTCTTATAGAGGGCACCCAGGGAGGGACTTTAACAAACAGAGGGTCTAGAAGTAAGAAAACATATGGTTATGGAAGCTCTAGATGACCAGAAATGACACTCTCAGATTTTAATTTGAATGTAATTTTCTTTTGTTTTTTTTCCATTAAAAAAATATATTTTGGACGAATGTTTCCATACAATCGCTATAGTATTACTATAGTAATCGCTATTGATTCACTCATGCACCTCTGGTTCAACCTTGCCGGCTCAGCTCCGACAAATCGCGAAACCTCGTATGCGTCGGTGACGTGACATAACACGGTGTGTCTTTAGTTCCTGTGAGCCTGAAGGTTACACTTTCAGTGGTGTTCCTTCGAATTTCATTTTTTAATTGCAGAATCAGAACGTCAGTTTTTAATTGAGTTTGGTACACTTCTCGAGAGGTTCTTACTTGTTAATTCCAGGAGACAGGAGACACCCACACATAGGCAAGGCCATGTTCTCGATCTTCAATCGTAGTCTTATCTCTTATTCACATTTTCAACAGCATCGTATTTCTGATCACATTATTCTTCATATGACGATTGACATCTCCAAGCCACCACTTGAGAGAAAAAAGTTAGCATATATTAAATACAAAGACATCGATATTAATGCCTTTAAACTTAAGTTTTCTGATTTATTTACCCATTTTCGGGCAAAGTTGAAGGTTGTTTGCCATAGTTGACCTAACGACACATTTCATTTTTTTAAAGACGAGCTTGCTCCAGAAATTAGGAGAACTATCTCTGTTCGATCATGGAGGTATTATAGTAAACTGGAGAAACAATATGAATTCAGTCCTTTGACGATCATTCCGACCGCGCTGATAAGAATCTGTGGTCACGTAACGTATAGTGGGTATCAATTTTGTATAAACATGCAGTGTGAACTCGGTAGCTTCCTCGGAGTGTTTGGGTTAAATAATGTTGGTTGGAATGCCAATAACTACACCAAATTGATTGGATATTGAGATTTAGAGTTTTGACATTGGTTAGCTAATGCTTCAAAAGATAGCCCCAAACATTGAGATTTTTCGAGCAATGCTAGGCCAATGCCCCTGCATGTCTACGGCCTATTTAGTATGCACGAGCGTCTTCGAACATCAACATCCTCCAAATTAATACTGATTTTATTTTGATTTGCTGCTGTACATCAAATATCTTTTAATTTCAACTCGGAGATTCACAATGAACAAATACTATGAGACATTATGTGATTTTATACTGAATTTATCTATTCTGTACAGATGCTGTTCATTGATTTCTCTAATTTGTAACTAAAACAGAATTTTCTAATGAACAATGAAGATAATATTTATATTTTGATATGGTGCTGCATTTTTAAAAATATTGTTTATTGATCATTAAATCTACATTTGAAACAAACTTCTACATTATGTTCCAAACTGTATTTGCCTCGACGATCGTTAATGTTTTCTTTCGGCAAAGGTTTCATCATCAGACAACATGGTGTTGGTTGGTCTGGTCTCTAGCATTTGTGCAGTTACCACTATGACGAGCAGCTGAAACACAAATCAGCATAACATTAGGTCTCTTATTAAAAAGGAAAGAAAGAAATAATCATTAAAACGTGAATTTAAAAATAATATACCTTCCATATGTACGTTATTAAGTAAAAATTATTTCAGTAGGCCTGTTTGGGGTAGCTATCAACCTTACATAACTAAACTCCATAATAAAATACACCAACCCACTCTCCCTTACCCCCGCCCCCTCATTAGGTGCCTACTGCTATGTTCGAGTGAACTTGGTCTACGCCCTACCTGGTAGGCCTAGTATAGCCTGTAAAATTGTCATTGACAGCGAAATCGGCAAAATTAATGGTATTTTGAATGAAAATAGTCACAATTTGGCATAGTTCAAATCAATAAATTAATTTAAAACAATATCTATTCTGTCAAACAAGACAGGTCTCATTTACAGGAACGATTGATAAATCCAATAAATATAGTTTTTAACAAAGAATATGCTATAAAAACAATAAAACATACCTTTCAACGGTAAATTGAGCTTGATATCAATGTTTTCGTTACCAAGAAATGCTTAAACTGAGATACTGCGCATGCTGTAAATAGATCTGAAGCTTCGTCTGTCATTTCCACACTACCCAGGTCCTGCCATATCCTGTTCTATTTTCTGTATGGTCCTGTTGACGCTCCTAACAAATCTAGTTCTGCGCATGCTCGACGGTCGGAATGATCGAACATCAATAGACCGTAATATCGTGTAGGATCTCTTAGTAGTAATTGTACGGAAGCACCTAAGTGCCATTCGACTTGACGACTTGTCAAGATAATTATGTTGTCAAGTCGACATAATATACATATCATGTCGACATGGCGAGATAGATATGTTTTGTTGTCATGACAAGATAGGTTATCTTGACAAGTCGACATAATAAAAGTTGTATGTTGTCATGTTATTAGATGACCAGTTCCTTAAACAAAATAATAGCTTGTTTGAACGATACAATTTTTATACTGCAGTTCAACAACAGAGCGAAAGTATTGGGCAGTATGTTGATCGATTGCGTTACCTAGTTCGAACGTGGAAGTTCGAAGCAGTAGAAGATGACATGATAAGAGACCAATTAGTCCTAGTAGCAAAAGAATAGTGCTGCTCGAGCCAGAATATTAAGACAGAAAGAAATTGCGTCCTTAAAGGATTCAATAGCAGTCATAAAAATAAGTGAAGCTACAAAAAACCAGATCCAATCAATGACGTAGAAGATCAAAGCACAGTAAATTATGTGAAGCACAAGAACAAGCATAATCCAAAGAAATACACTTATTAAAAATGTATGTCGTCAAAGCATGTGATTAAAAATTGCCGAGCCTGTGGAAACACTGAAACGAAAACGAAAGTGCAAAGCCTATGGAACAAAATGCACAAAATTTGAAAAAATAAAAAAATTTCCCGCCTGTGTGTGAGAAATACTAAGCAAGCCACACACGGCAAACAGAGACGTACAACTCGAACACATCAAATTGAAGAAGATTTGAAGATTCATCATCAGAATCAAACTTTCAATTAGAGAGTGAAGGAGCTGTCAACAACAATGGTGACAAGAAGCTGATGATAACACTCCAAGTAGAATCTTCATCAGCTACATCCGCAAATATTGAATGCGAAATAGACACAGGAGCATCCTGCTGTATAATGTCTCAAGATGAACTTGATAAGATAGAAAGGAACATAGAATTAAAGCATTCCAGTACCAAACTGAAGATGTACAATGACCAAGAGGTAAAGGTGCATGGTGAAGTAGAGCTAAAATGCCTATATAAAGAAAATGAATACAAGCTTACATTATAAATAATGCACACAGCACAACTTTAATTTCTACAGCTAAAGCGCTAGAAATGGGCTTAATAATAGGGGCAAAAGACATCCATCAGGCTACAGTTCAAGATAGTATCACGAGCATACTAGATACGTATAGCGATGTGTTCGAAGGACTTGGTTGCCTACCAGGTGCATACGAGATAGAAATAGATGAATCCATACAACCAGTGAAAAACCGACCGAGAAGAGTTGCAGTTGCTATTAAAGATGAACTCAAATTTCAACTACTAGACTTAGAACAAAGAGGTATCATTGAGAAGGTAACTAAACCTACGGATTGGCTCAGTAGTATGGTTGTTGGTTAAAAAAACCTAGGAAACTATATGATGCCCACCGTTCAAGATATGTTACCAAAATTAGCCAGAGCCAGAATCTTCAGTGTTCTTGACGCCGAGGATGATTTTTGGCAGGTTAAGCTAACAGAAAAAGTAGTTTTTAAACTACATTTGGAACACCATTTGGGCGGTACAGATACCACAGAATGCCATTTGGTATATCAACAGCACCTGAAGAATTTCAGAGACGACAGCATGAGATAAGCGAAGATTTACATTGTGTTGAAGTCATTGCTGACGATTTTCTGATATATGGATATGGAGAAACAGATCAGGAAGCAAAGGACGACCATGATGCAAACCTAAGAGCATTCCTAAATAAGGCTAGACAAGTAAACTTAAAGCTGAACATGAAGAAAGCCAAGTTGGGACTCAGGGAATCAGGTACATGGAACGCATTATTTCCCATGATGGGCTTCTACCTAATCAAGAGAAAATAACAGCTATAGTGCATATGCCAAGGCCTGACTCAAAATAAGCTACTGTTAGGGTGTGTGACATATCTATCAAAGTTCTTGCCACGATTATCAGATGTTGCAGAACCCTTGAGACGGTTAACAGACAAGCAGTCACACTTTGAATGGCTAAAATATCACGAGGAAGCTTGGAATAAGCTAAAGATAATGAGCACAAATGCACCAATACTCAGGTACCATGACGTAAATGAGGAAGTAACTATCTAGTGTGATGCATCAGAGCATGCACTTGGAGCTACATTAATACAAGGCTGTCAGCCAGACTACTTTGCCTCACAAGCATTAACGATGACTGAGAAAAAGTATGCTCAGATAGAGAAATAATGCCTTGCTATTGTCTTGGCTTTAGAGCGATTTGATAAAATTTATTTACAGCAGAGACATGGTTAATGTACAGACAGATCATAAACCACTAATACCTATTTTCTAGAAACCAATAAACAGCACACCAAAACGGTTGCATCGAATGGTATTGAGATTACAGAAGTATGAACTTACGCTTCAACACATTCCGGGTAAAGATATGTTAATTGCTGACTTCCTGAGCCGTGCATTCTTGAAAAACAACAGTAATAAGATGCAGATATGTAGTGAAATAGAACACATCAACCAAATTGAATATATGAATGTAAGCAGAAGCACACAACTGCTACTTCAAAATGCAATCAAAGCAGATGCCAATCTGATGGAATTAATGTTAATAGTCCAGCATGGATGGCCTGAGGTAACATCTGACGTGCCAAAGACATTACAAGCTTATTTAGCCTTCCGGGATGATGAAATTACAATGCAGGATGGTATTTTGTATAAAGGGCAACATATAATTGTACCACAGACTATGCAATCATTGCTCAAAAAAGCACATAGCAGTCATGAAGGAGATAAAGCATGCATAAGAAGAGCAAAAGATAGTTTGTTTTGGCATGGAATGGCATCCCAAATCAAATATTTGGTAAGCAGTTGTGATATTTGTAATGCACCAAGACTAAAGCAACAGAAGGCGAGTATGATGACGTGGGAACTCCCCACCGAACGATGGCAACATAAAGATCTATTTACTATTCACCAACGAGATTATTTAATCACAGTTGATTACTTCTCTGATTTATGGGAAGTAGACGAATTCATAGAAGATACTACATCGAGCACTGTCATAGAATGTACCAACCGACACGGAATACGTAGAAGAGTGGTAACAGACAACGGTCCGCAATTCATCTCAAAAGAGTACGAAGATTTTCCCAAAGCATGGGATTTTGAACATACCACAAGCTCTCCACTGCATATCCAAATAAATGGGAAAGCTGAAGCCACTGTCAACATAGCTAAAAATCTCATCAGGAAAGCTAAAATAGACAACAAAGACATTTACTTGGCGTTATTGGACTGGAGAAACACTCTAGATACAGAGGGTAACAACCCAGTACAGAAACACTAATTTTTCTGAACCAATTACCAATTACGGAACAGCTGCTAAATCCTCAGATAGTGACTAATAGTGAGAAAACCTAAAGTCCAAAAAACAGGTTTGCGAGATATGCTTGCACAAAGCAATTTTATTGCAATTTCCTGGTATTTTCGGTATGCTGAATCCAAAAATGCAATGGTCCATTTTTTCCGAGATTGTCTTGGCGGCCATTTTGGAATTTCAAAATGGCCGCCATTTATACAGTAAAAGTAACCATAACTGCGCTATTAGGGTAGGTATCGACATGATTTTGGTACCAAACCCTATGTTCTCAATGTCAACCTTTCCAATGGTGATATTCTCACAAACCATAAATGGCAGCCATCTTGACTTTCAAAATGGCTGCCAGTTTGAAAGTAAAATAGCAATAATTGTGCTATTAGAGCAGGTATCAACTTATTTGTGGCAGCAAACCATAGGTTTTCAATTTCAATCTGTCTAACGGTCGTATTCTCACGAATCATAAATGGCGGCCATCTTGAATTTAAAAATGGCTGCCATTTTCACAGTAATAAAAAACATAACTGTGCCATTAGAGCAGGTCAACATGATTTAGGTAGCTAAACCCTGTGTTTTCAATGTCAAGCTGTCGAATGGTGATATACACACGGATCAAGAATGGTGGCCATTTTGAATTTCGAAATGGCCGAACAATTTCTAACACAAACTGCTTAGTTTTTTGCGAAGTAAATTCAATTATTAATTGCAAAACCCAAGTTTCAATTGAAAACCTATCAACAAATTAACCTGTCTAATGGTTATATTCCAAGTGGAATCATACCTTTCTTGGACCATGAAGACAGAAAGACAACACATTTGAAGTACCAAAGAGAAATCCAAAAGGTGCTTTGTCATGATTCTGTATGTCAGTGGTCTATCGGAAAGATCAGATCGAATGAGCACACACAACTTTAAAACATGATTCCTGACATCAAAATAAGTTGAGAGAACTAGTGCATCCGAAAAACAAGATTCCATGAGCAAACACTCACCTTAGAGTTATTATGTGGTCACCAATAGTAAAAGGTTTGACCGCTAAAGTGAACATGAAATGAGGTTGAAAAATATAAATAAAGGGGTACGAACTAGAGCCAACATGGGTTCTTCTTAATGAGACATGCACAAATCAGCAATCACTGGACATATGGTCACACACAACCACATCCCAGATTGGAAATACTACAAGTTACAGGGGGAACTGATGTCGGCAGTAGATGAAAAAGGATCTAAATGGTTCAGTAGTAAAGACAATAATATTAACAGAGACGATGGAGTACACCAGTTGTCCCATGTGTAGGAACAATTTTTGTCGACCCACAACAAGACCTAGGGACTCCTTCTTACATCAGACCAGAAGAGGTTGGCCGACACAATACAACCAGTCGGCAAGCTGGAGATAGATATGCAGATTTCTACACGTTAGTTTGAGAATGGTAACTGAGTGACCAAAACTGTCTTACGTATGTTTTTTTAAGTCTAAAATATCTAAGAAATTTAACTTAAATATCGATAATTGTATTAAATGTGTTAAACCTACTGCAAATGCAAACTATATAATGCCCTACACTACCTGTCTCTTATACACATCTAGATGTGTATAAGAGACAGATATTAAACAGTACACAGTTAATATTCCCATGCAGATTAAATTAAATCGCAGTCAATTTTTTTGAAAGGAAGAGGTCTCACAATTAGGTGCACAGGGAATTTAATCGGCAAAGACAGTAGAACAAGAACTACTTTTTTTTATTCACTATGGGTTATTTTTCCAAAAAAATAAGAGTTGGATCTACTTCATTGGTATTTTTACCATTTGGCAATACCAAAATATACTTGTGGGATTGGGGACAACGTATCAAGTTAATAGAACAACGACAGAGGTTGTTTACTTATCTTTGCAATGGTTAGAGTTTAACATGATCAATATATGAATCATAAATTATGACAGCATCAAAGACACAGACTAACGATTACAAACCAGATAAAACAGCCCAACTTTGTTAAAAATTCGACAGATATGATTTTCAAGATGTAATGTAATGTAATGTGGTGGGATTTGGTATAGCGCATTATACCGAAGTCTCAATGCGCTGGTGATGTGTGGACTAGGAACTCGATCAATGACTTTCTTCGCCCCTAAGGGTCCCTTCATGTCTGTGCTACCCGGTAACCCTTATAGTCCTTATCCGAGAAGACTTGTTCTACCACCAGAACCATAGGCGAGCGTGCCGTTCGAACCAGCGCCGATATTATGGCTATAGCTTGCGGCGCCCCTGCTAACCGCTTGGCCATTCGACTCGCCATTTAGTGAAGATTTAGTGAAGTGCAAACCATTAAAAGAACAAAGCAAAACCAATTGATATGACATCGAAAGAAATTTGGCAATAAAACATGTGTCTGTGATAGATATTATCTTTTGGCAAAATCAAGTCATCTATGGCACATGGGCACATCCATTTGCAGAATGCAGTTTAAAAAGTTGGTTATTGTTTAGGGAACAGATACCAAAGTCAACACTTTCAATTGTCGGAAGATGTCAAACATTATCAGGATGCACCAAATGACAGACACATTGATGCTACTGTATTTTATAAACCGCCTTAGACACCAAACAAATAAATGCTTACTTGCCATATCTTATATCAATGTTGGTTATTGCAAATGAAAAAAATAGGAAACTTGCAAGTACCGTGGTTACCTTGATATGACTTTTTTACAAGTCTGTAGATGACACTTCAATTAAAATATTATCTCAGTCAAGAAAGAATTGTTGATGGGAGCAATATTAATGGGTCATGCCAACAACATATTTTACTCTTCCAGCACCCAAAGCAGTCATAGTGGTGGTTAAATGTGAGTTCCAGAAAAAATTGCGCAAGAACTATAATTTTATGCCCGATTTTATGGTGTAGACGTCTGTTTAAACAGACGTCTACACCATAATAACTGAACTTGCTTTAAAAACTAGTAGTATAAAATGAGGCTAATTTGACGGGCATAGGTGGTACGTATGCCTAACAATTTAA